TAACGCTATTGAAACGGAAATTAATTAAATAAACTAATTAATTTCTTTAAGTTTCAAATCTCAATCAAATGACCCCTAATTAACACATGTTAAACAACATTGCATGCTCATTACAAAGATCCATTCAAAATCTTAATTAAGTCAATGGAACAACGAAGTAGAATTTAATTAAATCATGATAATTAAATCTTTAACTTCTAAAGCAACTTCAAATGGTCCCAAATTAATATATACGCTAGTAAACAAGTCCTAGTCATTTAAAATCCCTAGATTTTCATACTCTTCCAAATGCTCCAAAATTAAAGTATGTTAAAGAGCATGCCAAGACTTAATTTAATAGCCTATCACAAGTTAATTCCATGCAAGGTACGACCATAATAATTAAACTTTCACAAAAGAAAATTATTAAATAAAAGATGCAATCTTTATTTAAATAATCCCAATTTAATATATGTTAACAAACATACCAAAGCCTAATTTACTAGTATGCCATAATTTAATTCTAAGTTGAATATCATCATGAGAATTAAATCTTAAACATAGAAAATAATTAAATTAAATTCTAGATTTTGAGCAAAAGCATGCATAAAAGTTTTATAACCATCAATAGTATGCAAGACAACAAAAATAATAACCTATAACACCCCCTACCTCAATTTAAGATGAAAATCTCAAATGCCACCAAAGTGAAATCACTCCGAATCCGACGAAACTTTGGGGTTTTGTCTGGGATAACACGGTGAACGATAAACTCCAAAGAGGACATATGAAAATCCTAACTTAACCTCAAACCCGAACTCAAAAGATGGCCAAAAACATATTCTAATAAGGGGGAAAGATGCGCGGAATCAAGACAAATATGAAACACAAAGGCACTACGACTTTTTAACAAATGGAAGAAGCTCAAAAGAAGAGAGAGAAGGTGGCAGCCCTTTGGCTTCCATAGAATCCGGCCAAGAGAGGGAGGAAGAAGGTGAAAAAGTGATTTTTCACTTTAAGGCATTCTATTTATAGTAAAACCCTAAAAATGCCCCGAAAGGGCCTCACCAGGTCCGAAAAGTGCAATTCGCGCAGACGCGCTCAAACGGAAAAATTCCATGGATGAAAAAGAACCAAAATGAGAAAAGATAAACAACGGAAGAAACAACATCAAAAACTGACTCCCGAGCAGAGAGATATGCCCCGAACAAGTTTAGCGGCAACGGGGGCAAGAAACTTGCAACTGGGGAAAAATGACCAGAAGGCAATTCTAAGAGTACACGACTCGATGAAAAGTGAAAATGAATCCCGTACAAGGATCTGGGCTCAAAATGAGGCATTTTTGTAATAACTTTCCTTAATTACACAATGGCCCCTCCAAAAACTGAAAACTGCACTAATGACCCAGAATGAAAATATCTTCCAAAAATATTTTTTTAAAAACCCCTGAAATAAAATATCTTCAAAAGATATTTATGAAAAACACACCATGAAAAGAAAAAGATTCTGAAAAACTACGCATCCATGCCCTTATGGACACCGGGAGCAACCAGAGTACTTTACTCCAAAAACAAAGATATGTATTTCGTAGAAACCACTTAGAGTGAAGATACGTTAAGTCAAAAACCAACTCCAAATATAGAAAGTGAGGTTATGCCAACAAAGTGACAAACGGGGAAAAGACAAAATAGGGAAAAGAATGAAAAGGAATAGTGTCGAAAAACAAAAAATGCGGAAATGACGCGGTCCTCAAAGGAAGTTGTCAATCCAAAGAAAAGAGTCTCAAAAATCATTCCAGAGCACCCGAGATGACACTAAGTGACGAGAAACTAAACTCAGAAAGGAAAACATCAACAGAAAAAAAAATATCCGTGAAAATCTGAGAAAAAGGAAATGAAAGAAAATGACCGGGTCATTACAACCTACCCTCTTTAAAGGGATTTCATCCCCGAAATTAGGAACAGATAAAAGAGAACTGAACAAGATCAAACTAAAGGACAAACCATAAGGTGTTAAAAGACAACTCCGAAAGCCTAAAGGTCACCCGAAAGAATACAAAAACCCATAACTGGGTGACACTTCCTGAACGAATCGGCATATCAACTCAAAGTCAATCACCAAAAGAATTCCCAAGACAACGACAAGTCAAATCTTGACAGATGGCTAAGAATGATATAGCAGTACGAACAATGACCAGAACTCACCCACACTTACTCGTCAGTAAGGTAGCATGACAGTATAAGGCACTAGCTCATAACATGCCCCCAACAGATCAACTCAGAAATAAACTTTTCGATACAAATGACATTAATGTAAAAAATGATCACTACCAAAAGCACTACAGGAACTAAGCATTTGTGAGAGTTGGGGTAGCTAATCCCAAAACTCTAACAATAATGTCATTGGTACCATTACGCTTAAGGCCTTAAATCCCTAACGCTGATGTAACTAAAGACCCCCATATCTGAAAACACCACAACAACAACACCAGTCCCGAATCCATAACCTGACAAGTTTGTGCCCTCAAGCCAATGGATCGGAACCACAAAACCAAAAACCTAAGCACAGATCTAAAGTAGACCTACCGTAAGGCTACATACAGAAGACAAAACATTGCATCAAAATCCCTATAGTGGACAACAAAAATCTCAAAACACAAGTCTACAACGTAGCTCACACATCTCTATCCCAACAACCAAGGTCACAAAACCCAACATAAGTGCAGAAAAGATGAAACAGTATAAACCAAATACTCACATAGTGCATACTCGCAAAAGTTAAATGACATAAATCAAATAATATCATAGTACTAAACACACAGTACACATAAGGTAAACCAAATAAACCACCTATCACATAGGGGTCAAACAAATAGCGACGCGCTATACCTCACCAACGGCATAAACATGGTAAGCGGATATTGTATAAGCAACGTATCATATACATCCTTATATAACTACCATATAGTAATAAATCCTAAACATCTTTCTAAGGCATGCCCGAAAACAATGGGGCTTATAAACATGTAAAAGTGATCATACAAATGGCAAGTTCATAAAATCAAAAGAAATGAATGGAATGCCTCTCAAAAGGAACAACCTGTTGGTCCTGAAGTCCCTTAAGCGTTGTTTGCCTCTTTAATGTCAAAAATCTGTGTGGCAGTGGCTTCAAAGGGCTTTTTCATTGTCAAAGTTTCTTGAAATAAGTCTCAAGGATAGTGTGGTCATTTTTTAATCAGTGACTTATCCCTCATAACTGTCTTAATGTATTTATCACTATATATCTATTTGTTCTAGCTTAATTTGCTGAGAATTGTGTGGATTCAGTTCATGTAAATTGTCACAAATAGTTCCAGGGGTAGCATTGTCATTTCTCAATTGTATTCAATATATACACGTATGTTTTGGATGCTGTATTGCACTGGATTGACTTGAGTGAATCAACATTGTCATTGATACAGTTTCAGGATTTTTCTTAGCTAAGAAGTTAAAAATTTGTTGCAAGGGTATTCTAGTAATTTCTTACTATGCTCATTAGTGTGACACGCTTCAGTGGTCCTAAAGTAAGTGAATATGCAAGAATATTGCATTTCTTGGAGGTTAAGTCTGGAACTGAATGGAGTATGCTGCAGTGTTGTGTGTATGTGTCAATTTCAGTGTGAATAAAGACAAAATTGCTGAGGTGGCCTTCTGTTATTGGTTCTTGCTCTTGAAAATATCTGCATTATGCCTTACCAATTATTGGCTTAAGGTGACAGGTGTATTCTGTGGGTGTATGAAGTTCTGTGCACTTTATGATTCCATATATATATATATGCTGTTATAGTCATTTTTAGGGTTTAAACCTTGTGTGTGAGAAGTGACATTGAGCTGCAGCTTGAATTATCTCAAGAGCCTTCATTAAACTAGTTTTCTGAAGTTTTTGGTGATGATTCAGGCCAAAAAAACCCACTGATTCGAGCTATATGATTGTTATAGCAGAGAAGATGTTGTTGCTGTTGTTTTTCACTGCTACAAGGGCTGAACTGAGTATTGGGATTTAGTTCCAAGGTGCTGAGGTCTTTTCAGAGAGTTGACATAGGTATCAATCACCTTTATACACTTACTTAGTACTGAATTATTGTTGAAATCATGCTGAAATCAAAAATGGAAAGTGAGTTAATCTGTTTTACTTAATTTTCTGAGATATTCTTGGATTCAAGCACTGATTGGTTATGCCTTGCTATATGATAAGATTTTAATCCTCTAGCAAGTGTATTTTGATGAATCTTGTATGTTGAAGTTGGTTTTATGATAGAAAATTGGTCTGCTGCAATTTTCAGTTTTCAACCCTTAGTCATGGATTGTGTTTTTGCTGAAACAAGGGTTGTCTTGGTTCTATATGCCTAACTCATGCTACGCTTCTGGGATTAAAAGTCATGAATATGAGTACCACAGTAAATAAAGACTGAGTATGATACTATTGAATGAATCTCGTGAGGAAATTCCCATTTTACCCCTCAAGATCTAAATGCTGAAAATTGATGTTATGAAGTGGTAATTTGGCATTATGAGTTGTCAGCCTTATTTCAATTGAAGAAAGAACTTGTGTTTGCTGTTTTACATTTGCTATAATGTATTTGGTGAGCTTAGAGAGCTTATTTGGTCCTGGCAGGGTTGCCTAGGACAGGGGGAATGTGTGTATACACTTGTTAAGCTAGTGTGTGAGTAGAGTGTGTGAAAACTAGTGTCTACTTCTGTGACAAGGGTGTGTGCAGAGAATGAGACAGCTGAGTGTGTAACAGCTTGCTTATAGCTAGTGGATGACTGAATTGGCATTGGCCAAGAACCTAGGTTTTCCCTGATTAAGAGGGTTTCCTTGTAATTTCTGTTGCAGTGTTTATTGATTACTGTTTTGACTATTTTTAAGTTGTTTTTGAAAGAAGGTGTTGACCAATTTGCCCCCCCTCTTGGTCCAAAAATTGGTATCAGAGCTTTGGTCTGTTGTGTAGGGTTCTAGCAAGCCTGCAGTTAATCTTTGAAATGTATGAAGGCCAAGCTACAAACAAAGCTCTAGGGTTCAGTGGTGTGAACTATGATTCATGGAAAATCAGAATGGAAGCATTCTTAATGTCTCACTCCTATGATGTCTGGCATGCTGTTGTGAATGGAATTGTGGTTCTTAGTCCTGAAAATCCCTTTGAAGCTGATAAAATTACTGGGGCTAATGACGGTAAAGCCAAACATGTCCTTTACTATGCTTTAAAGCAACAAGAGTTCAGTAGAGTCAAGAATTGCAGGTCAGCTAAAGAAATGTGGGACTCTCTTCAGGCTGCCCATGAAGGAAGTACTGTCATTAAAGAAAACAAGATTCAGCTCTACAAAGTTCAATATGAAGCTTGTAAGATGGAGGAAAGGGAAACTGTAGCTGAGTATTTGTTTAGGATCAATGATATTGTCAATATGAAATCCCTTAGTGAAGACATTAAAGACTCAGATGTTTGCAAGAAAATTCTCAGGTCTCTTACACCTAGATTCAATGCAAAGGTTACAATTCTTGAGGATCAAGACTTATCTCAAATAAAGATTGATGATATACAAGCTTCTCTTACAGCCTATGAAATAAGAATTGGAATGCCAACTATTCAAAGAAGAGAAGCTGCACTTAAAGTCAAAGAAGTTACTGAAGAATCTGAACCAAAGTCTAAGGAAGATGATCTTGAAGAGGATGAAGTGGCCTATCTGTCAAAGAAGTTCAAGAAATTCAGATTTAAAAAGAGAAGTCAATCTCAAAATCTAACTTGTTATGGATGTGGTAAGCCTGGCCATTATATCTCAAGTTGTTCAACTTCAAAAGGGCAAAACCAGAGGTAGAAAGAAGGGGGAAACTTTAAGGGAAGATTTGGAAGAAAGGCTCTCTTTTCAGATTGGGATTTAGTTTCTGAAGAAGACAAACATGAGGAACCAAAAGAAGATGAGTGTTTATTTTTGGCTACTCTTGAAACACCACAGAAAACAACTGAAGTTGAAAAAGATAGTGAAGACATTGACTCAAAGATTGAAGAAATACTTGAAGAATATGAGAGGCTTGCTGTGAAGTTCAATCGACAAAAGTCTCAACTGAAAGCCCTTAACTCTGAGCTGCAAAAATCCAAACAACTTTTTATTAAACATTTCAAACTTAAGCTATCTACTTTATGTTCAATTTCTCTTATCTTCTCAAGTCTAAAGAAGTCTCAATCCAACACTGAATGGTTAACCAAAAGATACAAAGAAGAACCCTCACTAATTCTTGAAGAAAGGTCTTTGAAAATGGCTGAGATTTGGAAGCAATCCACAAAGCAAATTGGGAAGACTGGAATTGGTTACATTTGTGACACAGCAACCAAAGTAAAATAAAACCACACTGTGTTTGTTAAGGCATCTTCAGGAGAAGTGTATGCAAGATTTCCAATCATAAAACCCTCAAGAACAAAACATGATTCATTTGATAACTTCTACAGCAAGTCAAGGTTAAATGAAAGTGATTTTATTACATCATCCTTCAGGAATTACAAAGTTACCAAAATGTATGTAAAGAAGTTTGACATAACTCCAGTTCAGAAAGTTAACGATAGTAGATCTCTTGTGAAGTCTAAGATGATGTCGATACTAAAGAGAATGAATTCTGTGAGTATGTTGGTGTACACTGCTTTCAAAGCTGGTAATACAAATGACAAATGGTATGTTGACAATGGCTGCTCGAGACACATGACAGGTGATAGTTCCAAGTTTGTATCTCCAAAAAACTATGATAGAGGAAATGTCATCTTTGGAGACAATCAAAAGGCCAAAATTATTGGTATTGGCACTGTGAGTAAGTCTGATGAATTACCTAAGATCAAAGAGGTATTACTTGTTGAAGGCCTCAAACATAATCTCCTAAGTGTAAGCCAACTATGTGACAATGGGAAGAAAGTCTGTTTTGATAAAGAAAGATGTAAAGTGGTTGATATTGAATCTGAAAAAGTCCTAGTCTCAGCTTGCAGATCCTTTGGAAATGTGTACACAGTCTCAGAAGAAGCTACTTACTGCAATCTGACCTCTCTAGATGAAGTTATACTGTGGCACAAGAGACTAGGCCATCTTCACTATAAAAATATAATCAAAATCCTGAAATTGAAAGCTATGAAAGGTCTACCGGATTTAAAATTCAGTGAAAATCATCTATGCAAAGCATGTCAGCAAGGCAAACAAACTAAAGTGTCATTCCCTTCCAAAGAAATTAACACATCCAGAGCTCTTGATTTGATACATATAGATCTCTGTGGTCCTACCAGAACTACAAGCATTGGTGGAAGTAGGTACTTTATACTACTCATTGATGATTTCAGTAGAATGGTGTGGGTTTACTTTCTGAAAGAAAAGTCTGAGGCTATAACATACTTCATTAAGTTTGTAAATCTTATTGAAAATAAAAGAGGTTATACTGTGAAGAAGCTTAGATCTGATTTTGGTTCTGAGTTTACAATGAGGGAATTTGAAAGTTATTGTGATGTAAAAGGTACCAAGAAAGAGTTCTCAGCTGTAGCTACTCCTCAACAAAATGGGGTTGTGGAAAGGAAGAATAGAACTGTTTAGGAAATGGGAAGAACTATGCTACTTGAAAAAGGTTTTGCAAAGGGATTTTGGGCTGAAGCTGGTACTACAACTGTGTATATCATCAACAGAGTACTTCTTAGACCTAATTCATGTAAAACTCCTTTTGAACTATGGTATGGAAGACCTGCAATAGTTCATTACTTTAAAGTGTTTGGTAGCAGGTGTTTCATTCTCAATCATATAGTGAACTTAGGAAAATTTGATTCCAAGGCTGATGAAGGGATATTCTTGGGGTACTATACAAAAAGCAAGGCTTATAGATGCTATAATCTAAGATCCTCCAAGGTTATTGAATCAATTCATGTTCAATTTGATGAAACTCCTCAGTTCAGCATCAATGATGACATTAGTTCTACACTAGGATCAACTGAAGCCAATCCATCTCATTCTGTTCAAGGGTTAGATAAATCTGTTAAATCTACTTCAGAACTTGATGATTATAGAGAAGTTACTTATCCAGGATTACAAAAACAGGTTCAAGCTGAAAACATCATTGGTTCTCCTCAGGCTGGTGTTCAAACAAGAAACAAGAAGAAACTCACTGAATTAGAAGCTGATGATGGTGAAGAATATAGTCATTTTGCAATGTTATCCTCTATTAAACCAAAGTCTTATTCTGAAGCACAGAAAAGTGAAGATTGGATGGTTGCTATGAAAGAAAAACTTGATCAAATTCACAAGAATGACACTTAGACACTGGTTCCTAGACTTGCAGCTAAGAATGTTATTGGTTCCAAATGGATTTACAGAAAATAACTTGATGAAAAAGGGACAATTATTAGAAACAAGGTTAAATTGGTGTGTAAAGGATACTCTCAACAAACTGGTATTGACTATGATGAAACTTTTGCCCCAGTTGCTAGGATGGAATCCATTAGAATGCTCTTGTCCTTTGCTTGTCACAACCAAGTCAAAGTGTATCAAATGGATGTTAAGTCTGCCTTTTTGAATGAAGAGTTAAATGAAGAAGTATAACTGGAACAACCTAAAGGTTTTGAAGATCCCAAGTCTCCCTCATATGTTTTCAAGTTAAACAAGGCCTTGTATGGTCTCAAACAAGCTCCCAGGGCTTGGTTTGAAAAACTGCGTCAGTTCTTGATTGAATAAGGTTTTCATAGAGGAAAAGTGGATAGCACTTTTTATGTCAAGCTTCATCAAGATCAGTTCCTTATTCTTCAAGTCTATATTGATGACATTATGTTTTATGGCTCAAATACATCTTTAGCCTCAGAGTTTGCCAATTTAATGAAAACCAGATTTGAAATGTCTCTTTTAGGAACTCTTAGATACTTCTTAGGTCTTCAAATTCATCAAACCTCCAAAGGAATTTTCATCTCTCAATAGAAATATGGCTCTGAGTTGTTTACAAACTTTAATATGACTGAGTGCAAATCTGTTTCAACCCCCTTGTGTCCTAATTCCAAGCTGTCTCTTGAGTGTACCACAGAATCAGTTCCCTCTACTCTTTATAAGTCTATCATTGGCAGTCTATTGTATCTCATAGCTTCAAGACCTGATATCATGTATTCTGTGGGGTTAGTAGCAAGGTTTCAAAGCAATCTTAGACTCTCTCATCTTCAGGCTGCTAAAAGGATTTTGAGATATGTTAAGGGTACTATTTCCTATGGTCTACATTATATCTTCACATCCACATTACCTATCACAGCCTTTTCAGTGCTGATTGGGGTGGATCCTTACCTGACATAAAAAGTACATTAGGCTGTTGCTATCTTCTTTGTTCCAACTTAGTTTCTTGGTTAAGTAAGAAGCAGGATACTGTCTCTCTGTCTATTTCAGAAGCTAAATACATAGCTGCTTCTCAGGCTGGTTCTTAACTTCTCTGGATGCACACTACTCTTGCTGATCTTGGTCTTCAATTCTCAGGTCCTCCTAAACTCTACTGTGATAATCAAAGTGCCATTGTAATAAGCAAGAATCCCACACTTCACTGGAAGAGCAAACATATTGACATCAAGTATCACTTTCTTAGAGACAAAGTCCAGAAAGGCCTCATTGACATTACTTATTACCAACTGAAAATCAACTGGCAGATATCATGACCAAACCTCTTCTCCCTCAACGATTTTCAACCCTAAGAGCTCTTCTTAGGGTTGTTCCATCCCCTTTCTAAGCCTCTCATTGTTGGTCTTTCTCACCTTTTGTCCTTCAATGTCAAAAAGGGGGAGAATGGACTGAAATAAGGGTAGTTTCTCAGCTATCCCTTCTCTCACTTGTTGCTATTATTACTATGCTTCGTATTACTTTGGTTGAGTCTACTTTATTGAGGTCTTATTTCATGATTGAAGTTTTTTTCATTAGAGGCAAAAGGGGGAGATTGTTGGTCCTGAAGTCCCTTAAGCATTGTTTGCCTTTTGAATGTCAAAAATATGTGTGGTAATGGCTTCAAAGGGTTTCTTCATTGTCAAAGTTGCTTGAAATAAGTCTCAAGGATAGTGTGGTCATTTTCTAATCAGTGACTCATCCCTTATAACTGTCTTAATGTATTTATCACAGTATATCTATCTATTCTTGCTTAATTTGCTGAGAATTGTGTGGATTCAATTCATGTAAATTGTCACAAATGGTTCCAGGGGTAGCATTGTCATTTCTCAGTTGTATTCAACATATACACGTATGTTTTGGATGCGGCATTACACTGGATTGACCTGAGTGAATCAGCATTGTCATTGATACAGTTTCAGGATTTTTCTTAGCTAATAAGTTAAAAATCTATTGCAAGGGTATTCTGGTCATTTCTTACTGTGCTCATCAGTGTGACACATTTCAGTGGTCCTAAAGTAAGTGAATATGCAAGAATATTGCATCTATTGGGTGGAGCTGAATGGAGTATGCTGCAGTGTTGTGTGTATGTGTCAATTTTAGTGTGCATAAAGACAAAATTGCTGAGGTAGCCTTCTGTTATTGGTTCTTGCTCTTGAAAATATATGCATTATGCCTTACCAATGATTTGCTTGAGGTGACAGGTGTATTCTATGGGTTTATGAAGTTCTGTGCACTTTGTGATTCCATATATATATGCTGTTATAGTCATTTTTAGGGTTTAAACCTTGTGTGTGAGAAGTGACATTGAGCTGCAGCCTGAATTATCTCAAGAGCCTTGATTGAACTAGTTTTTCTGAAGTTTTTAGTGATGATTCAAGCCAGAAAAACCCACTGATTCGAGCTATGTGATTGTTATAGTAGAGAAGATGTTGCTGCTGTTGTTTTTCACTGCTACAAGGGCTGAACTGAGTATTGGGATTTAGTTCCAAGGTGCTGAGGTCTTTTCAGAGAGTTGACACAGGTATCAATCACCTTTATACACTTACTTAGTACTGAATTATTGTTGAAATCATGCTGAAATCAAAAATGGAAAGTGAGCTAATCTGTTTTACTTAATTTTCTGAGATATTCTTGGATTCAAGCACTGATTGGTTATGCCTTGCTATATGATAAGATTTTAATCCTCTAGCAATTGTATTTTGATGAATCTTATATGTTGAAGTTGGTTTTGTGATAGAAAATTGGTCTGCTGCAATTTTCAGTTTTCAACGCTTAGTCATAGACTGTGTTTTTGCTATATGCTTAACTCATGCTGCACTTCAGTGATTAAAAGTCATGAACTTGAGTACCATAGTGAATGAAGGCTGAGTATGATACTATTCAATGAATCTCGTGAGGAAATTCCCACTTTACCCCTCAAGATCTAAATGTTGAAAACTGATGTTATGAAGTGGTAATTTGGCATTCTGAGTTTT